ATCCCAGTGCCGCATCTAAATCAGCTGATATCGATCCTTATGCAATCGATTCCTTGAGGACTCAATCTTGGAAGTTTCGAGTTCCCACGTTCTTCTTCCAAATTTTGATGTAAACACTTAGTGTCCAAATAAATTAATAAAGACATTTAAATAATTTATTTGGGCTTGACCATCATATTTTCTAGAGTGTGTATGATGCCTATGAACTGTTGGTACCATTGGTTGTGCCCAATTTGGATTGCTTGTATGCAGTGAAATATTATTGCTCTAAAATTCAATTATAAAAGTTGTTTTAGACATATTCTGTTGCTAGGTGTTTTGCATAGGCAAAATGGAGTTTGCTGTAAAAATGGTTAGCAACAAAGTTGTAGGGAATTTCTTTATCTAGCTTGTGTCAAAATTTTAGGGCAATAGAACAAATGGTTGGAGAGTTATAGCTGTTAGAAGTCGGTCTCCCGAAATACTTACTCTCTGGAATTTCTGGACAGACCTGGGAAGTTTACCTGTTTTGACTAGGACAGTGGCTGAATTAGATTTTGGTGATTAAATGAAAGTTGTAGGAAATTTTATAAGCTTTCCAGAAAGTCTAAGATCATAGGATTTGGTTGAGTAGAACTCCAGTTATGATCTAAATTTGTAGCTGCTGTGTTGTGGTCCAGAAATAGACTTAGTGTCGATTCTTGAAATTTCTAGAGAAGAGATATGTACCTACTCAGTAAATAGGAATTTAACTTTGTTATCATCCTAATGACCTAATATGATAGTCATTATTTAACCATGCACATTATCATGTCATGTCATCCATGACCCTTCTTATGCATTCATGATTCTCACTTTTTGCATGTGCATGCAATAAGTGTGACAGAAGAAATCACCGTGTTGGAGTACGAGGCCGATCCCCAAGAAGAGCATCAGGAAGTGCAGCAACCGGAGGCCCTAGGAGAAGGCGAGCCTGATGATGAACAGTTACCCGAGTGCCCAGATCATCAGCCCTCAACCTTTGTGAAAGGCAAGCCCCGGAGCATTCTAAGCCTCCTATATTTTCAAACTATCAACTTGAGTCCTTTTATGTTGATGTATTAAGTACTAGGAGTTGATTGGAACCATTTGCTGCATATATCTATATATATATCTTGAATCCTATGTAGGTCTAGGATCGAATATATGCTTAGCCATACTTAGTCGGTAGAAGTCGGGTGATTACCTGTCACCTGCATGATATAGACTGATAACTAATCACGGTTGGCTATATGTGCTAGCATGGAATATAACCATGTGTCAAGGAATAAAGGAGACCGGGCGGGATCATGATAGAGAAGCAACAAGGCATGGAGGTCTTGGGTGCCTATCTATCCCCGTTTGTGTCGATTAAGGACCGATTCACTGTATGCCCTCATGTCATGTTAAACGCATGCCTAGCACTTAGTTGGCCGAATCTGGTGATACGACCACGAAGCTGAGTAGCTCAATTCAGGCCAGGCCCCGATAAGTGAAAGTGCACACACTGGAGGCAGTAAGGATGTACAGAGAGCCAATGGCGTGAGTCCAAGGGTGGGACCAGGTCCTGATCTTCCTGGCAGATTGGTAGAATCTCTGAGGGTGCGGCGCTGATTGGACCCGCGAGTTAGTCCTAAATTGTACCAAAGGTGACCTGAGGCTACCTTCGCGGGGTGTGCCTCGGTTTGTGTTAGGAATAAATGCCCCAGCTGGGTAGGAATCGATTCAAATCACCGTCTCTCCCGGATAGTGAGAACTTGACTGAGCAGCGACAACGTAGAGTAACTTAATGGAAACTTGATGGTTATGAAGATGCTCAAATTATTCTTATAACTGGATATGGTTACTAATGCTTGTTAGCTTAATCAAGTGATTGCTCTAGTACAGGTGCTAATCTAGAGATTCTTAATTGAATAGGTATTCAAATTGATGCTAGAGGTACTAAATATCCAAATTATATTACTTAAGCTTTTATGCAAAATATTGTCTAGCTAACTCCACCTTTAAGGCCTTGCATACTCCTTGGTGTCTTATTATTTTGGTTTATGACGGGTAAGTCTAGCTGAGTACATTCTCGTACTCAGGGTTTACTCCCATTTGTTGTAGATGACGTGATGTACCATGGTTACTGCAAGCATTGCATAACTCCTATAGTTGATGGAGAGTAAGACCAAGGACATGGTCATTCTATATCATCTCATCTATGTGCTTTTGTTGGAGATAATCCTAAACTAGCTATGTATTTGAACTATCGTGATGTTGTTTCAAAACTATGTTGCTTCCGCTACTTCTAAATTTGGGTTGTAATAACTTCGTTGAAACTCTGATGTACGAGAACTATTTGTGAACCTGTTGTAACATGTGACTAGTTGTGTTGAATCATGTACAATCTTGGTTTGTACATTGGTTATTTGAGATCATTCGTGATTTCATCGGACTACCGGGTTTATATGGGTTCAAGTATGACGGTTGGATCGCTTCGGTGATTGCTATTGTACTTGTGCTCTTATAAATTGGACGGTTCTGTTACAAGGCCCCCGTGCGCTTTAAGGTGGTGTGTCCGAGGAGTGTTGCAGCGGTGGATGTGGCGAGGCCCCCACGCGTTTGCGTTGCCTTGGAGGTCTGGTGCAGTGTTTCGGTCATTTGGTGTGTAAGGTGCAGCAGCGGTACTTCGGCGAGGGGTCCTGCATGGCGGTGGCCTCTTCGGTGTGGTGTGGTGGGCTTCTCTTCTGACTTCTGCCAATGCATGGCCGTGGTTGGGAGATCGACGATCGTGTGTGCGTGACCTGAAGACGGCGGCAGCATGGTGGATTCCAGCGGCTTGGTTGCTAAGGGTGGCGGGTGGTGTGGCGACAATCAAAGGCAATTGTTTGTGCTTTCGGCTTGGCAGCTTGCAGCGGACTGCAGTGGCTAGCCTTGCACAGCAAGGGTTAGTCCGGTGCGGGACAGCGTCGATAGGCGGCGCAAGTGAAGGCGATGGCATGATGGCTACATGGTTGCAGCGGATCATGGGGGTTAGCCCTGCAAGGCAACGGTTGACTCGGTGTGGTACATCGTCGGTAAACGATGGCGCAGGCAGTGACGATGATGTATCTTCATGTTGCTTTGTCGCCCTTTGTTTGCTATTGCATCATGGTGGCTAGTTGTGGTTTTTAGTGATGTTGCTCGGTGCGTGTTGAGGTCTCAATCCAACCGGCCATTGTTGAAAGTTGAGTTTGTTGCTTCTGTTGGTTTTTTAGGTTTCGTTGCTTTCAGTCGTCGTTGTTGTTGTAGCTCTGTTGTAATGTCCGGTCTGGGTTCTTCTTCTTTTTAATATAGTCGGCAGCTCTCCTTCCTGATTCGTTTAAAAAACATCATCCTTTTATTTCCATTAGACCATTCCAGAAATGAGAGTTATGGGTTTTGGTTTGGAGTACCCAATCGTGAACTGACGTTTGACAAGAGTAATTCCCTCTCTACTTGAACTAGTAGCACAAATCCTGCTGAGATGGCTTGTGGCCCAGCCTAATGAAGCGCAACAAGTCTTGGATTTTTTTAAAGTCAATTAACAGGGCCAGTATTTATGTTTTTCTTTAGAACCGGGCCAGTATCAAAGTGAACATGCTAAGATGGGCTGAGTCATGACGGCCCATGGCATTTTCAGGAGTTGATCCTTCTTCAAACCGAGATCATGCTAGATTATATAACATTTTAATAAAGCCCCACGCAAAAAGGAAAGGGAAATAGCTGGAATACTGAGTTTAGGTACTTGCAAGTGGAACATTTGATCTACTATAAATTTTGAGAAATCTTGCAAGGTATAAATCATAGTAATTTGTAGATACTCGTGCGACCTTTCTCTTTTCTTTGGGACCATCATCGATTCCTTATGCAGGTTTGAAATATTTCCAAAATTCCATGGAAGAAATATGCCAATTGTACGAAGTTCCAGTATATTAATTAATTAAAATCAATGTCGCAGTCGTACCTACGATGCTTATCATAAATCTAATTACTACATCACGTGTTCTCAGCAACATAAATGTACTACAGCCTGTTCGGGAGGCCATATCGTATCGTGGATTATTTACTGCTGGCTAGTTTGGTGTGAGAGAAAAACACTATTTCCGACTGAAAATTTACGATCATTTACGAGCAAGCGAACAGGCTGCTAATCATTCTAGAATGTCATCCCTCCTTTTTCATGTTAAAATAATAGAAGTCTCTAATGCCAAAAGTAAAAAAAAAAACCACCACCATGTAACCGGTAGCAGATCAACGTCCGAGCACCCTGTATAATCCATTGAGATTATATTGAGAAAGAACCACTGTGGGTCCCTGAACTTGGAAGGTCTAGGACATGGGGACTGCACACTGGACTTTCCAACTTTTCAGAGCAAGTCACGGTCGGTCTTGGCCCAAATCTGATTTTCAGAGAGAATTATTAATAACGAAATATACTCCCCGGTTTCAAATTATAAGTCAATTTGACTTTTTAGTTCATTCATTTTGTTATTTATTTTGCTATGTATACAGACATATTATTATATTTAGATGTATAGCAAAATGAATGTACTAAAAAAAGTCAAAGCAACTTGTAATTTAGAATAGATGGAGTAGTAATTTTCCTCGGATTTCATGAAAACTTCTCTGATTCGAAACCCTTTTTTCAATTTGGCAAGACCATTTGACGTTTGTTTTAGAAAAAATAATATTACGGCATTTGCATGCACCTCTCCGCTACTGCTCAAGCTTAGCTGGCGCCCACCAACAGAAGCCGCAAAGCTGAAGGACCTCGAGACCGGCAATGGCAAATCGGCAACCCTCCCACGGCAGAAGCTTCGTCGTGCTGCTGCTTGTGCTTGGTCTCCAAGCCGTTCCGGTCTCCCGTCGTCTTCATCTAGAAGGAACACAGTACGTTGCTGCTTGGAGTTGGAGTACTTGAGGATCAAGAGCAGTCGTGGAGGAACGAGGGAGGGACCCACACGGTAGGTTCCATGTGGATTGTGGGACCGACCTGTCAGTTAATCAAGGCCTGCCTGCTTATCCACTCTGTTGACCCGCTTGATGAGGATTCTGTCTGATCTGTCCAAGCTCTCCTTCCTCCTGCCCTGAAGCTGCAGGTCAACCCACAAGCTTGTCATGGTTGATGGGAAAATAGTTTGTCTAGGTAGATGCAACTTGCAACCCTTGCACATACTCAGAGCCACCCAGTGGAGAGGTGGAGGCAATCTGGAAGTACTCGTAACGACCGTGTGGCACGGCCCTGTCCATCCGACCACCGGAATACAGAGAGTCCAAGTGACCAAAAAAAAAAAAGTTTCTGTTCTAGAAAGCGCGACCACAGCACTGAACCGCCAATGCCTTTTCCTCCGGTCTGCTTTCATCCGTGCACGAGTGTTTTCCACCACGAGGAATGAGCACAGTTTCAATAGCAGTATTCCCCTTCGCCCTTCGGAGACCGAGAGTAGTCAGCCCGCAGCAGGTGCGCTGCATTGTTGTGAAGTGGGGGCGTGGGGCTGGGCCTGGAAGTCTGGAACAGAACATTCCATGCTGTATGCTAGAAAAGCGGGGCCTCGTTTAGATTGCAAGTTTTTTCACTCTCTCTCCATCACATCAAATCTTTGGACACATGATGGAGTATTAAATATAGATAAAAAAATAACTAATTACATAGTTTAATTGTAAATTACGAGACGAATCTTTTGAGCCTAGTTAGACCATAATTGGACAATAATTATCAAAAACAAACAAAAAAATACTATAGTGTTAAATACTGATTCCTAACCCCGATCTAAATAAGGCCCGAAGTCAAATTTTCTCGGTGCTCTGTTCCATGACGGCCGGAAAGGCCTGCCTAAAAGCCTCCAGCTTTGTACTTTCTTGATAAGGTGACTGCTGGACAAGTGGAGCCGTCGCCGCAGACTGCAGTCATGGTCAAAGTAAAAACTGATGAAGCGAGCCGACCAACGATGGCAGGAGATGGGGCCACCCGAGAGATGAAGCATCATCATACCTAGCTATAGTTTTCCAAACGTGCCGGCACGGCACTACACGGCACTAGCCCGCCCCGGCACGGCACGCTAAGCACGGCTGATGAACCGTGCCGTGCCGTGTCGTGCCACCGTGCCTGACTCCAGGCCCAGACACGGCACTATCATTCCTAGAGCGTGTCGTGTCGTGACATGCCGACTCCAGGCTCAGCGTGCCCGTGCCGGCCCAGGCACTAAACTGGCCACCGTCGGCATCAGCCACGTCGACTGGGGGGTCGGAGTCGTCGACGGGAAGGGGATCAGCAGCAGAACGGCCGAAGAGCACGGCAGCGTCCTCGCGGACATCATCGTCCTCATCATCTCCGGCCATCCCGCACATACGCAGCTCGTCGTTCTGGGAATGGTCAAACTCCCCGTCGTCGTGTCGCCCGGCGCCTGGGGCCATCTCTGCCGTCTCCGGTTCCTCGACGGCTGCCATAATCAACAGATAAAAGCAGGGTTAGGTTGGGGATTAGGGTTTGGGTTAGGGTTAGGGTTAGGGTTTACCCTTACCTCTATGGCCGGAGCCCCGTAAACGACGACGATGAGACGGACCGATTGCACACCCCCGGTACCTCAACGGAGACCGGAGCCCCGGAGGTGGCGGCAGCCAACGATGCGGCGAGGATGCCAAGAACGAGGCTCAATTGACGTTCAGGGATGAAGAATAAGGGAACAGATGGAGATTGAGGGCGGGAACCACCGGATCTGAGGGAGAAGAGGGAGATTGAGGGCGGAGAGGGAGAAGAGGGAACCACCGGCCACCGGAACTGACCCCTTACCCGCCGGAAGACTCCATGGTGACGGCGTCGAGGAGCCCAGGTTACGAGTGTGGCGAAGAGCGGCGAGTAGGCGAGGAGCTAGGGTTACGAGTGCGGCGAGGAGCGGGCGAGTGACAGAGTGAGCGGGGAGAGCCGGAGAGGAGAGGGCGAGAGGCTAGGGTTACGAGTGAGGGGAGTGGGGAGAGCGGCCGCATCGGGCGGCTTATATACCGGACCCCCCGGCCGCTCGGCGATCCAACGGCTCACGCCCCGCCTCCGCGATCCGACGGCTGCGAGCCGTGCCTGCCCCGTGCCGCCCGTTGGAACGGGCCGTGCCTGGGCCGGCACTACGGGCCGACCTTTCGGCCCAGGCACGGGCACGGCTACCGGCCGGGCTAGGCACGGGCATAGGCGAGGCCGGGCCGTACCGGGCTAGGGCCGTGCTTTTTCGCACCGGGCCCGTGCCAGCCCGTTTCGCGCGGCCCATTTGGAAATTTATAAACCTAGCCCACCCAGGCACCCACCACCGCGACGGAGCAACGCCGGTGTCTTGGTGCTGGCGGCGGCGCTAGCTGGAGCACGGTGGCCTCTTATATCCGGCACGACGTACCCGTACCCATGTGATGAGTCGATGAGATCGAGTTTGGACAGGCACAACACAAGCGAGCGTCCGTGTCTTGATTAGCAGACAAGACGATGTTTAGTTGTTCTCTTTGGATTTGGATTGTGTGTATACGTTGCCTTGCAAGTTTCCTACTCTGCCACCCACAAAGTCGGATCTTATTAATCGCCGATCACGCACGTCGATATATACTGAGTAGATGGTAAGATCAAGTTTCGGAATTACCGGCCTAGTTTTGTCGATTAACGCACGGTTGAGAAGGGATCAAGTAGCGTGCGTACTCTCCTATGTGGTGATTTCTGGTTGCGTAAACAACGACGGACTGACGGATCCACTGATGCTACATATAATAAGACAGTACGTGTTGGGCATATGTGTCGTGTGCGCGCGCGGCGTTGCCTGCTTACAGCTAGCGTCTGTCACGACATAAGTTCACGCCTATAATTAATACTCTTAGAACAGAAGATTTTTTTTTCCCGATCAATTCGGGAGAGCACGCTCCACCTACTTGTATTTCATTGAACGAAATGGGCTGACAGCATATACAACATACATAAAACTTGCCCCTGACAGACCAGGGCAAGGGGGAAGGTACAATAGAGAGAGGGGGAAAGGATCAACTCAAAGAGTTACAGCATAAAACAACGTAACTTTTCCATGCCATAAGATCACTTCTTCTATTCCTGTATCTACAAGCCAAGGAATCCATATCGCGAACTGTGGCTCGAAGCACATCAAGGGGGGTGTCATTGAAGATCAATCCGTTCCGGGCGTTCCAGAGGCGCCACAGGATGAGCAGCATCGTGTCCAAGCGAACATAGGGAGGCAAGTTGATGCCCTCCACAATAAGCCAAGGCTGACGTTGGTCACCGGGCGACAAGTATATATATGTTGACACACCTCCAGACTTCATGGGCGCGGCTGCAGGTGACAAAGATGTGATCCCCCGACTCCAGTTTCTTAGGACATCTTCTGCAGAAAGCGTCATTGAGCGGGCAAATGTTCCGGTGGAAGAGGTTTAATCCGCAGTTCACTCTATCGTGGTATAAGAGCCAGCCAAAGAATTTAACCTTCCCGGGAAGCTTGCAGGCCCAATTTTTTTGCTGCCCCTGGGTTAGGCTCCTCATAGCATGAAGAAGCGCATAGGCTGTTCTGCTTGTGAATGGAGGCGACAAAGGAAGGTTCATGACGTGAGAATCTGCTGCAAAAGTGAGCTGGACGTTGGCAAGAATTGGAAAAGCTCTTGGGCGGCTACTGTAGTTAGACGAGCTTGAAAGAGTGTTCTAATGTCTACTGACAGAGCTGCACGAACACATATTTTGGGCTGGGCACAGTGGGAGAAAAGAGCCGGAAATTCTTTGTCCAATGGATCAGGCAAGAGCCAACGATCAAACCAGAAGGAGGTAGTTCTACCGTCGCCCAGCTGGACTTTGGTAAGAGACCGGAAACGAGGGAGCTCTTCTTGGATGATTTGGCCGAGGAACGAGTCCGTTGGCCATTCATCGTTCTCAGGCCGAGAGGATCTAAGGAGCCAGGACTTCCAAGGGTAGTCGCCAGTAGAAAGAAGTTTGTGGATAAAATTCAACAGCAGACAATGGTTCTGATCCTCAGTGTCGTTGACTCCAAGACCGCCAGGACCGACGAACACGATCTGGGTGTTTGCGGTCCTTAACGATTAAATCCGACGGTCAATTAAGATAAAAAAGAGGAGAAATTGATAATCTTAAACACATATGTATTTACTATTTACCAAGTTCCACATGTATTTGGAGATTATTGTTTTGCATGTTACAAGTACAAATACATGAGAGAATACACCGAAAGACGCTTTCCGATGCTGATTTCCGCAAAGAATAAACAAAGAGGCCCATTTGTCGGTGTTTCGTAAACCGAACTAATAAACTTATATGATTGTCGCGCTGCTCTATGAAGACGATGGTAGTATTCAAAAGGCACGAGGATTTATACTGGTTCAGGCCGAAGCCCTACGTTCAGTCTCAGAGATGATCGAGTGTGTGTTCCTCGCTTGAATGCTCTGAAGTTCTTACAATAGGGGGTGCAAGAATGGTGGAAGGGGTAGAAGAACCTAAGCTAGGTGACGGGCAGCCCGAAGAGAAGCTTCAGGAGCCCTGCTACGATAGAGAATGAGTGAATGAGTAGGGGACTCAAAATATCTGGAAAGGGTGCTCTGGCTGCCCTTATATAGAGTTCAGGACTAGGGCGCGAACAAAGCAATAGGTTCTCCCGACCGAAGGGTCGTGAGCCTGAGATCCTTGCTAACTTGGCTTGCAAGCTACACCATCTTGCGAGGTGCGTCCGGGCGTGGCTGTTGTCATGGTCTTGTGGCCACGTCACGGCATTGTGTGGCGTGGTGCTACTGTGTCGGCCGTGGCGGCAGGCACGATGGTAGTTCGCTAGCCGTCCTGTGCAATATGGTCTCTGCCGTGGTCTTCATCATCGTCTCCTAGTTTCCTGGGGCATCGTACAGGAGTTGGTGGCCACCCTCGGGTCGTTGGTTGCCTTGTTGTCTTGAGGAGCGCGGGGCCACAATCCCTATCGTTGGGATCATGGTTCCCGCCAGCCTAGATGTCCTCTGAGTCGAGGCCCTCATCGTGGATCCCATTCCGTAGTGGACAGGATCGTACTCTTGTCTCGTCAGGCCGTATCTGGCGGGTGGTCATCGTACCTGTCGTCACCACTTTGGGCGGTATTGTCTTGTCTGTGCGGCGTGGCACAGAGATGGCGTCTGACCGGACCGAGGTGACTGCTGTCCCCTCGGTCCTTACGGGACCAGTGCGGCGCGCTTGTTCCTATCAGAGCAGACACATTTGGTTGGGCTCGACCTTTCTCCGTTCCTTCCAGGGGTCGTGATGGGGGAGAGGTCGTACGCCTTTCTAGCGTCGTGTGGCTAAGGTGCGAGGGAGGGGTCGTGGCTGACCCTGTCCTTAGCGTTTGGCCTGGTTCGCCTAGCTTAGCTAGGCCTCGGTCGTTCGGGACTTCACTAACTCATGTGTTATGGGCCGCTCGGCTTGCTAACTAATCGGTGCCTTGAGACACCCCGGGGTTATAACCCCGATAGTAGCCCCCGAGCGTTTTTATGATCACGAAGTGATCGTGAAAACGCTGAGATGTGTGTGCGTTGAATGCGGGTTTGTAGTCGTGGCTTATTCGAGCTTTGTCGCTCGATCCCTTGAGGGTTGGTGCTTTCAATGCTGCGTTCCGCCCGTCAGGACGCCCTGACGACACGGTACGCGACTACTGTGCCTTGTTGTGTCAGTGTGCCGTGTTTCGAGGTTCGTGACCCAGGAGGGACTGAGCGGTCTCGTCGACGCTGTACCGGCCCTGTCTTTGAGGGGGTCTCAATTTCCCTGACCTCACGCGGGCATCTAACTTTGGCTATGACCTCCCGTGGTTCGTCACGCGGCGCGGGGGTCTGTGGCTGTTTGGTTCGTTCCTAGCCTATAAATGGGGTCCTTTCTGCCGTTTGAGCCACTCATGGCTGTAACTTCAAATCGCTCCCTACTTCCCTATTGAGAGAGTGTGGTAATGGGAGAGAGGTTAGGAGAGAACCGTGTGGTCCCAAGCATGCGACTTGCCAAGGGTCGCTTTCTTCCGCCCCTTCCAACAGCCGGTGCTAGAAGGAGATTTGTGGGCGAGGGGGGATGAGTTGGCAGGTAGGTCCTTCTTGCTGATGATCAGAGGAAATGCTTACTCAACCTCTACGCACGCGGCCGCGAGGCTTTTTGCGAACGCACATTGGCTCATAGGTCTTGGACCTTTTGTTTTTCCACGTAACTGAGCCGTGATCACGCTTTGGGCTCCGCATTGCGCGTCACCCCGGCCATTTACTTCATCGATCTCTCCCGGAGAGGTCGTGGACCTCTGACAGTTGATGAGTCTTTGGAGCTTGCCTTAGGTCTGAGACCTGGGACGCAGGAAGGAGTTAGTCGGGGCTTGGCCCTGACTTCTTTCGGGATCGCGGGGACCCAACTCCATTTTTCCCGGACGTCCTTGCTGACCTCG